CAGATGAACATTATGTGCCTCTAGATGTGATACCCTGCGAAGGACTAAGAAAGTTGAGTATGCAGTATGCCATCTAAGAGTATGTAGTCTAATCATAATAGGAATAATAATAATAATAATAATAATAATAAAATATTCTGTGGAGAGTTCTGTATTCTTCAAAAACATCAGTGTCTTTTAAAAGACAAAGGCTGTGGAAATGTTCCAGATTAAAGGAGGCCAAAGAGACAGTAACAAAAATAGTACCTGATCCTAGACTGGTCTCATGCTGGAGGGGATAAATATTACAAATTATTGGATCAGCTGAGAAAATTGGAATGTAGGCTGGCGATTAAATTGTTGTATGAGTGTAAATTTATGAAGTTGGTGACTGTAATGTGATTATATAAGAGTCTAAGGAAATACACTCTGAAATATTTAGCAGTAGGGAACCGTTATGAATGTAATTTACCCTTTAGTGCCTCAAAAAATATACTGAGTGTACATAGAGATATAAAATAGAGAATACATTCAAATGATAACAATAAAATTTAACAGTAGGTGAATCTGGGTATATAGGATATGTGGGTGTTCCATGTACAATTTTTTTGAGATTTTATTTATGTGAGAGAGAAACCAAGAATGCAAGAGAGAAAGAGCGCAAGCAGAAGCACAGGGGAAGGGCAGAGGGTGAGGGAGAAGCAGGCTCCATGCTGAACAAGGAGCCTGATGTGTGGCTTGATCCTAGGACCTCCGGATTATGATCTGAACTGAAAGCAGACACGCAATCGACTGAGCCACTTAGGCATCCCTACCTATACTAGTCTCATTTTGCAATTTTTATAAGTGTGAATTTGTTAAAAAAAAAAAAAAAAGGAGGAGAAGGAGGGTTGTTTTTTTTTTTTTTTAATAGATCCTTTATAGAACTTACTTTTTAAGGTACCTGTCAGAATACTCTTATCCCTGATTCTGAAAGATTACATTTCCTCCTTCCCTTTGCCTAATTACACATTCACTTACAACACACAGTCTTCCCCCATTATTCTTCTGGTTCTACTTTCTTAAATATAAAATCTATAGCATCATCCACAGAATTTTATCAAAAAGAATTCTATATGTGTGATTTCAAATCTTTCAAATGAGGGAATCTCCAGTCATTCTCCTCAATTACTTTCTAGAAGTGACTCTACTCTCTCTGCTTATGAATATAAAGAAGTTGAAGACTTTGATCATCTAGTTAGCCAGTGGTAGCTTTGTCTTAGGTAAATAATAGTAATAATAGTAAATATCACCATTAACAACAGTATTTTCTGCTGCTCAGAATTTGTTTCAGGAACTTTTGCAAGTAGGTATTACTAATCATTGAGGGTTAATGCTTGAGTTGAAACCCACTTACATTCCTGGGCTGACAGATTTCTCCTTGCCTTGGATAGGGTTCCTCTTTTTCAATCGGATTACATTCTGTTTGTTTCCAATCCACAATTTGTGCCATTTCAGGGCCCAAATATCCTTTTACTAGTGGTGTTACAGACATAACACGCTTAGTCTGAGCTTCTGTGGTATTTTTACTTAAATATTTATATACATTTCATCTCTGTCATTTGACTCTAAGCATAAGGGCAAGGACTGGTTTGTACTACTTTGTATCTTCTTTAAAAAGTAATCAATTTAGGGATGCCTGGGTGGCTCAGCGGTTGAGTGTGTGCCATCAGCTCAGGGCCTGGATCCCAGGTTCAGGGATTGAGTCCCATATTGGGCTTCCTGTGAGGAGCCTGCTTCTCCCTCTATGTCTATGCCTCTCTCTCTCTGTCTCTCATGAATAAATAAATAAAATCTTTAAAAAAAATAATTTATATGTATGTACTATTGTATTCTTTTAGCTTGGATTTATTTTCTATCACATTTTCTCCTCCATCTATGTATTTTGTTTAACCATTTGTATATCTGGGTTTATCCCTACCAAGATATTTTAAAAGGAATTAGCCTCTATAATATGGCTCCTATTTTTAAACAGTTATTGGCTAGCTGGGTCTCATTTTAATTGACAGAACTTAATTACAAGATGTAATCCATTTGCCTATTTCTCTGTAGACCCTGTTTTCTATTTAGAACACATTAGATGGCCCAAAAAAATTTGAAGATACACCTATTTCTAGGACCATATCTGTGTTACATCTTTATCAGCTGTAGTTGAGCTGTCATTTGGAAGCGGTAGGTCAGGCTGAAGCTAAATTCACTTTAATCATTGGCTCTGGTTTTTTGGTCGAATGAGATCCTAAAGTGAATTTTTACATGTTAGCATCTTAGGGCTTTAATATTTTTATGTCTAAAGAAGATTTGGTTCTCATATTTTAAAGATGTTATATGTGTTTGCACGACCTGTAAAAGGAAAGCTGCTTGCAGAGGCAAGAGCAGTCAGCCTCACAGGTACTTGTTTAACTTTCATAGAAAAGACACTGAGCTCCCTAGCATGAGAATCTTCAGTCTTGATTGCCTTCCCTGATATGTTGGATGTGACTTGTCATTCATGGTATAATATATGTCAAATATATTTTGGTAATGCAAAAGTAAGGTGATACTAGGTGAACTTGTTTCGTTTTTGTGAAGAATTAAATTTTGTAAGCGTGATTGGATCTGAAAATTTTTATAGTGGGACATGCCAAAGTCCTATATAGGTAAGACCCTAAAAAGATATATAATATACCCTTAAGGAGTAGAACAATGCTAGTTGGTCCCTGATTTGGCTTTCTGGATTATCAGGATCGCCACTCTTTAATAGACCTTTCAGTGATGATGGAAATACTTTATAATCTGTGCTTTCTGGTACAGTAGTATACACATGTAGCTGTTTAATGCTTGAAATGTGGCTCATTAATTATGGCTAAGGTATTAAATTTTTAATTTAATTTAAAGTGGCTAGTGGTTATCCTATTGAACAATGAAGATATGGAATGTTTTGGTTAGGGACCCAAACAAACAAGTGTTTTAATCTATTTCAGGATCTCCAAAAGCCCTGTTTACAAAACAGTAACAAACAGAAATAGATCATGGAAAGTCATTGGAGAGAGAGCCTTATGGTCATAAGAAACATGGGTGCAGAGATATTAACATATGGAGGTTTTTATGAAGGAATCTAAATATTTTAATTAGGAATGTTACAGTAGTGTAATACAGATCAAAATTGTAAATGGGCAGTGATATAGTAGGTTCAATTCTACAGCTATTTATTGGATTCCTATGGGCCAGATGCTATCTATGTTAAACTTGAAGCAAGGAGGGCAGGTTTGGGGCAGCCAAAGGGCCCCCTCTTATTCCTACCACAGATAGCACTAATGGGTGGCTACATAGTTTTTCAGCGGTTTTTCCCACTTTATTAGAAGCAGTATCTGAATTCCTTTCAGTAGAGTACTGCAAATAGAGTTGGCATACAAAATGAACATGTATACTGTCTCTGCAGAGATAATTAAGTCACAATGCCTCCTCTCAAGGAGATCAGGAGATCAGTCATATTCTAATACTTATCAAGTAGATTATAAAGTATGTGTAGAAAATAGGACAAAAGAAGGGCATTGATCTAGAACAGGAATTTTTAACCTTGGTGCCACAGCTTTTAGAGATACAAATTGCTTGTAACTTATGCAGAATGTTTTATGTTCACACAGTTTGTTTTTCTGGGAGAGGGTTCATAGCATCAAAAAAAGATAAAAGTGACAAGGAAACATTTACTAGTTGGGAGCAGTCAGGAAGGAATTCCACAGGACTTGATAATCAGGTTGGGTTTTGAAAAGATTAAATAGTTGTTTGCAATCATTTGCTAGGTAGAGGCAGACAACAACTAATATAAAGGCCTGAAGACATAAAACAGTATGCTGTATGAAATATGTGAAATTTGAGGAGCACCTGACTGGCTCAGTCGGTAGAGCACATGACTCTTGATCTCAGGGTTTTGAGTTCAAGCCCCACATTGGGTATAGAGATTAGTTTTAAAAAAAAGAAAAGAAATGTATGAAATTTGATACTGCTATATCATAAAGTGCTGATGAGACTAGAAAGATGAGGTCAGAAGGCCTCATACAGTCGTAAGGATTTGGATTCTGAGGTGATGGGAAATTAAGAAGTATTAAGCAAAGGAAGAGTGTGAGACATTTTGATATCAAGCTACTTAATATTTTACTAATATTATTGTTAGTCTGGTTTAATTTTGATACGTAATTGAATGACATTTGATAATATAGTGTAGAGCAGTGGTTCCTGGCCCCCTTTCAAATCTTAACAAATATAAGAGATACATCACATTTCTGTCACCATGATTGTCATGAGGAAACGAGCCACCTCAGCAGAAGTGCACTCATTGAGTGATAGCTGTTACTGTTTTTGGCAGTGGCTTCTAACACTTCTGCTTTAAATACCATTCCCTAAGCATTTGGTAAAGTAAGTTACATAATCTATTAAGTAGGATTTAAATATTCTAGAAACAATCTTAAAGACCTTATCCTTTTCTATTATATCAAACCATATGAAATTGCTGATACTTTATCTTTTTTATCTATAAGATTTTCATATAGTCCAATACATTTCATGATCTCTTTATGTTCTTAATGGGCTTCTAGTTTGTTTTTGAGGTGGGGGAAAGGAGTCACATCCATTGTCCCTTTTTTTTTTTTTTTTGGTAAAGATTTTATTTATTTATTCATGAGAAACACACAGAGAGGCAGAGACACAGGCAGAGGGAGAAGCAGGCTCCATACAGGGAGCCCGATGTGGGACTTGATCCCGGGACTCCAGGATCACGCCCTGGGCAAAAGACAGACGCTAAACAGCTGAGCCACCCAGGGATCCCCACATCCGTTGTCCTTTATGACTTATGTGTTTGTCAATAATAATAGTAACTTTAAATGTGGGAAGCCATAAATTTCTGATTTCTTTAGAAAATCTAGATTTTGTTTTTACCAGACATCTGTTGAGAGGTTTTTGTCAGTGGTTTCACATAGTAAATGATTGCTTATGGTTTCTTCTGTCAGCTTTTAGTTTGGATGCTGAGCAGCCTGATTATGATTTGGATTCTGAAGATGAAGTATTTGTGAATAAACTGAAAAAGAAAATGGACATCTGCCCATTGCAATTTGAGGAGATGATTGACCGTCTAGAAAAAGGCAGTGGTCAGCAGGTATAACTTCATTGTATATACCTATATATGTATAGAAGCAGGATAATGTTGGAGTGAGGGTAAGTGATCAGACTGTGGAATTAACAAGCATGAATTCATATCTCATCTCTGCCCAGTACTAATCTGTATAATTTTGAGCAATATGTTATTAAAAAACAACAACAAAAAAGCCTCTGTGCCTGTTTCCCCTTCTGTAAAATAGAGATGATAAACATAATAAGATTATATTGTGTATAAAGCATCAATGATGGACATGTATAAAGCACTCCACATTTGCTGTTATTAATATTGTTATTGTCATTAAAGTTAGAAGTACTTTTGGACGTTATATATATCTATTATATGAAAATGACATAATGATTTTACATTTAGCCAGTCAGTCTGCAGGAAGCCAAGCTACTGCTAAAAGAAGACGATGAATTAATTAGAGAAGTTTATGAATACTGGATTAAAAAGAGAAAAAACTGTCGGGGGCCATCTCTTATCCCATCAGTAAAACAAGAAAAGCGTGATGGTTCCAGCACAAATGATCCTTATGTGGCTTTTAGAAGGCGTACTGAAAAAATGCAGACTCGAAAAGTAAGTGAATTTGAAAAAAAAATTTTTGTAATTTTTTTATAAAAGAAAATTTATTTATATTTATGAATATCTCTGCATCTAAAGGCTGTGTCTTAATTTGTGTTTAAATAGACTTTCGGTACAAAATAATAAAAAATTACTAATTTAAAATGTATCAACCTTAGGATTCATTACACAGCTATTAATTATATGTTTTAATGTTAAACTATTTAAAAATCATATATACCATTGATTTCCTGGTAATCCATATTCCCTTTCAGTGCCTTTAAATTCTAACCAGCCCTTCAAATAATATGTATTCTTATATATCAATAGCTATGTTCAGAATGCCACTAGTTGGAAATTTTATTGACATTAAAAAAGCAACTTCATATTTTCAGAATCGCAAAAATGATGAAGCTTCTTATGAAAAAATGCTTAAACTGCGTCGAGATCTCAGTCGGGCTGTTACTATTCTAGAGATGATAAAAAGAAGAGAAAAGAGTAAAAGGGAGCTATTGCACTTAACACTGGAAATTATGGAAAAGAGGTAAAGTGTACTTTAATAGGGTCGGCAGTATCATACCGTTAGTATTATGTGTATTGTAGTATGGTTCCTAATCAATTAACCCTAGAAATACCATCCTTTAATAATAAGTAGAGATTATTAAATGTGTGATATGATATACTTTGCATAATTTTACATCTGTTCCTCTCTTTATTTTCTTTAAAAGTGAGTGGGCTCGGTAAATTAAAATATGCCAGGTATAATCTTATTCTTTTGTCCTTATTTGAGTTTGAGTGCAGTGTTGGGAGGGAGAGAATATTTGTCAGTTATAAAGTTTTTCATTTACTCACCAGATGGTACTGATTTAAAAAAAAAAAAAAAAACAAACAACACCTACTGGGTTTTTTAACAGAAGTATAAAGAAGGGAGGGGAAGAGGCCCATAATTTTAACACTCAACGATTTGGCACAAGATACACAATGAAAACTTCAAGCCTCACTTCCTATTTCCTAGTCAGTATCTCCAAAGAAAACCACTATTAAATTTCTCATAATTCATCTAAGGAAAATTAGTTTTATATAGTACAGGCAATTCAAATTAGCAGAAAGTTCTTCACCATTTTAGGCATTAATTTCAATATCTCCACCAAATCTTTCACCAAAATTGGTAAGTTAAAATTTGAACCTTTGTTTTTTTCCCCACAGTTATCTATTTATGGTGCAAAGGTAAAGCTATAAGCCAAAAAATAACGGAAGAAACCAAAGGAATCATCTAATCTTCATTTTAAATTAGCATTCAGCAAGTAATCAAAGTTTAATATTGCCTTCAGTCTACTCAGTGTCTATAATCGTATCTCAGACTTTAATAGTCCTAAATATTTACAGAACTAACTTTAATTTTTGCAGCTTTCTTTTCTATAATTTCAGGTATAATTTGGGTGACTATAATGGAGAGATCGTGTCTGAGGTTATGGCCCAGAGACAGCCAATGAAACCTACTTATGCCATCCCCATCATCCCAATCACTAATAGCAGTCAGTTTAAACATCAGGAAGCAATGGATGTGAAGGAATTCAAAGCAAATAAGGTAATAAAAATTTTTATGATAATAGTAGCTGGTAATAGAATGTTGTTTTATCATTAGAGTGAAAAAAGAAAAATACATATAAACCCTACCATGAACTATGCTGCAAAGTCAGCTTTTGATTCAAGGCTAACCTGTTAATACAACAGTAGGAATAGTAAAGAGAGATAGTGTATAGATGAACTCTTTAAGAATTAACTTTTCCCCAAAAAAACTGTAATGCCATAAACTACATAAAACTTGATACAGACATTTAGTATCTGTACACAGCCATGATACTTGCCGTGATCTTTTTCTTTCCAACAGGTTTTTTTTACCTGTAGCCTTTCTTACCTGTCACGCACTTCATACTTGAATTAGCCTTTGCTCTTACCTGCACACATATTTCTAACGTGCACTATCGGCTCAGTCACTCTTGCTTCTGTATTTTATCCTTGTGTTGTCCCTGTTTAATGATTTCATCTCTATATCATCTAAAACTGCCTAGATTCACTCCAGAAAGCCTTTGTTGTTTAGCTGCCAAATCTTTACTTCCCTTTATTTTTGTGACACCTCCATATTAGAAGTTATCTGAGGTGCTTTGTGTATGTATAAGATTGTTTGCATTATTATTTTCCCAAAATGGATTTGTTAACTCTTTAGAATAAAGACTAGACCGCCCCCCGCCCTTTTTATTTTCTCTTAGAATTTTCATAGAAAATTTAGGAAAAGGTACAGGAACCAATGATAAATACTAACTGTAGTTATAGGATTTCAGAAGCTGAAGAACCTCTCTTCTTTTACTTTAAATGAAACAAAATATTTTATGAGATTATGTTTAGGTTGTAGGAACATGTCAATGTTTCACAGAAACCAACCTGTAATACTTTATAATATAAGATGACAAAACATAAGCGTCTTAGATCTCTTCTGAGTGCTAATGACTTCATTATAGCACTAACCCTGTTTTTAAAGCATACCCCAAACTGCAGGTTTGTTGAACATGGTTTCTAGTGTTTGATTAACATACGACTTTATTGCAGCAAGATAAAGCCGATCTTATCCGACCTAAACGTAAATATGAAAAGAAGCCCAAAGTCTTACCATCGTCTGCTGCTGCTACTCCTCAACAGACGAGTCCTGCTGCACTGCCCGTCTTTAATGCTAAAGATTTAAATCAGTATGACTTTCCCAGCTCAGATGAAGAACCTCTCTCCCAGGTAAAGATAAGAATTTCTCTAGGAGCATAGAGGAGAAATGTAGGAAGTCGCATGTTTTGACCCACTTCATTTTATTTTAAAGGTCTTGTCTGGCTCTTCAGAAGCTGAAGAAGAAAATGATCCTGATGGTCCTTTTGCTTTCCGTAGGAAAGCAGGCTGTCAGTACTATGCTGTAAGTTTCAGGTTCTCTTTTTTAAATAATAAGTTGTTTGCCTTTAACTGACAAACTAAAATAATTTGTTCTGTTTTGTTTTGTTTTTAGCCTCACTTAGACCAAACTGGCAACTGGCCTTGGACTAGTCCTAAAGATGGAGGATTAGGGGATGTACGATATAGATACTGCTTAACCACCCTTACTGTACCCCAGAGGTGTATTGGATTTACACGAAGACGGGTTGGGCGTGGTGGAAGGTAACTATTTCTGTATTCCTAGCATAGGTACAGTAGGGACAAAGTAGGGTAATCAAATCTACAGCTTTAGAGAGGGAATTCTTCTAAATAGCTCATTTGTTTCCATTTTCTGTTCTTAAATGATTTTTTGACTAAAATACTAAAAGAGATTACAAAAAGTTGTTTCAGAAGTTCTGGCACATATTAGAAGAAAGGACTGAATAGGCTAAGAAATGTCATGTAATTAGTACACTAGGTTGTTTAACTTCTCAGTGAAAACACTCTAGAAGGGGTCTCTGGGTGGCTTACTGGGTTAAGCATCTGACTCTGGGTTTCAGCTCAGGTCGTGATCTCTAGGTCATAAGATTGAGCCCTGCCTCAGGCTCCACACTCAGGGCTCAGCACACAAGTCTGCTTGAGATACTCTGCCTCTCCCTGTCCCTCTGCCCCTCCCACTGCTCATGTGCACTCATTCATTCTCTCTCTCTCTCTCTCTCTCTCTCTCTCTCTCTCTCTCTCTTTCTCTCTCTCTCTCGAATGAATGAATGAATGAATGAATGAATAAAATATTTTTTTAAAAAGGCTCCAGGATCCATGCATGCTCTGACCTTGACACCCAGTTTTTCAGGATCTAATCACTCTTTTGTTTAAACATGATAGTACCCCCTGTACACTCTAGATGCCTTTTGTGAGAATTTGTGTGGGAGGCAGGAAGGAATTACAGAACACACAAAAGTGAAGAAAAAGAAAGATAATCCTGTATAGGTAGGGGAAAAAAGGCAGAACATAGTATCAAGGTGCTTTCAGGAAGAAACCTGAGGATGTAGAGGGTTTTTTTTGTTTCTTAAAGATTTTATTTACGTATTCATGAGAGAGAGAAAAAGAGGCAGAGACACGGGCAAAGGAAGAAGCAGTCTCCCCAAAAGGAGCCCAGTGTGGGACTTGATCCCACATAGATCCCGGGATCATGTCCTGAGCCAAAGGCAGACACTCAACTGCTGAGCCACTCCGGCATCCCAGGATGTAGTTTTTAATGAATGTTTTATATGTATGTTTCTTTCATTTTCAAGTCTTAATTGCAGTTTTTAATTACTTTAGAATTGTCTGGACACTGAAATTATTTATTTTATTTAGTGCTTTCCCCCCAGTCATTACATTGATATCAATAGTAGCCAAAATTCCATGTCGGGATCCCTGGGTGGTGCAGCGGTTTGGCGCCTGCCTTTGGCCCAGGGTGCGATCCTGGAGACCCGGGATCGAGTCCCACATCGGGCTCCCGGTGCGTGGAGCCTGCTTCTCCCTCTGCCTGTGTCTCTGTCTCTCTCTGTGACTATCATAAATAAATAAATAAATAAAATTTAAAAAAAATTTCCATGTCATTTATATTTTATTCTATACTAACATTAGTCACTGTTAGTATTTTAAGATGGAATTACTTATAAAGTTTAGATAAATAACATAAAAATATATCTTCTACAGTAGTAGATAGCAAATATTTTGTCGATAAGAAATTTTAATGCTATAAAATATCCCAAAGTTAGCATACCATTTACTGCTTTCTCCTACCTCCTCCACCCCTGCCCCCCCCCAAAAAAAAGAAGGAAGTTTTTGCTTAATAGAGAACTGATATTTTATAAAGTGTTTTGGTGCTTTGTAACGGAAAGAAAAATCTCTGATTGAAAAGCAGTTTGGAAAGAAAGATGAGTACAGGTTTTATATCAGTAACATACTGGTAGATCAGCTCGTGGAACTGTTAGAAAGCTCTTGCTGATGTAAAATGAATTCTTCAAGGTGGATTGCTTTCTTCTTTAATCAGATCATTATAAAGTAAAAACTTTTATCAGAAATTGAGAATTAAAAAAAAAGAAATTGAGAATTTAAAAACAAATCGAGAATTTAGCTTAGAGGGTCAAATACTGAAATAATCAAATTTCTAGCTTTTAAATGTTTAGTATGAGATGGCTTTGGGGGAACTGGGAGGATCTTTTTTTATATAATTTTTGAATAGCTGTTTTACATATATGTTCCCTGCCTTATTTTTAACAGGGTCTTACTGGACAGAGCTCACTCAGACTATGACAGTATGTTTCGCCATCTGGATTTGGAAATGCTTTCCTCTCCACAACATTCTCCAGTCAATCAGTTTGCCAATACCTCAGAAACAAATACCTCGGACAAATCTTTCTCTAAAGACCTCAGTCAGATACTAGTCAATATCAAATCATGTAGATGGCGGCATTTTAGGCCTCGGACACCAACCCTACATGACAGTGACAATGATGAACTCTCCTGTAGAAAATTGTATAGGAGTATAAATCGAACAGGAACAGCACAACCTGGGACCCAGACATGCAGTACCTCCACGCAAAGTAAAAGTAGCAGTGGTTCAGCACATTTTGGTATGTTTATTTGTTATGATGTACATTTCTATAGAAATGTCTGGTTCATCCATATTTTGAATATGTGGTTTATTATATTTAAAGCTAAAAGTCCTTTCTCTCAAATAATGAGGAAAAAGGACCTAGGTTAAGTATTTATTTGAATTGTTTGTACATGTGTTTTCATTTAAACACACCCACACGCAAAGGTGATTTACTGCTACTTAATGTATGACATTTATTTCCTGGATATGCTCTGTGAACCCACAATTTACAATTCAGCAATTATATTATCAAAGAATATGAAAAGAAAATGGGCCATTAATTGTTACCATTTTATGCTTGGACACTTCTCTCGTGTTTTATTTAAACTGTTCAAAAGTAGTCTGGCAAGTCTGTAGATATGCACAAGTCTTATCTACTGACAGTAATGCAGAATAATTTATAAGAAGGAACAATATTTAAATTAAAGGATTTTTAAAATTTTATAGGACTGTTAAAATTTTGGAGGCAATTCCAGATAACATCTACTTTAGCATTATGGCTACATTGTGAAATGTGTCTAAAATACATCCTGTCTTTAAATATTCCTAAAATTTTAGCTTTCTGGGTTTTTTTGTTTGTTTGTTTGTTTGTTGTATTTTTTTTATAAATTTATTTTTTATTGGTGTTCAATTTGTCAACATATAGAATAACACCCAGTGCTCATCCCGTCAAGTGCCCCCCTCAGTGCCCGTCATCCAGTCACCCCCACCTCCCCTTCCACCACCCCTAGTTTGTTTCCCAGAGTTAGGAGTCTTTCATGTTCTGTCTCCCTTTCTGATATTTCCCACTTATTTTTTCTCCTTTCCCCTTTATTCCCTTTCACTATTTTTTATATTCCCCAGCTTTCTGTTTTAAAGCATAAATCTGTTATTTGAGGCATGTAGATTATGGAAATTCACTGTTAGAATTATGTTACCGTAGATTTTTGTAAAGATCATTTAAACACAGATTTTGAAGGGACTATAAAGGTATTTATTATGTTGCCCTAATTACCTGGTAAGGCTACGGTTAAATCTTTCTAATAAATACGAAAATGTACTGCTTATTCTTAAAGATCTCCAGAAAAGGTCCCATAAACTAATTTATTTTGTGTCTGGAAAACAAGTACTTGTATGAAATGGAAGTCTTTACTCATAAGAAAAATAATCACATTTCCAAAATCAATTAGAAGATAATCTAAATTATTTTGAAGTCTAACGGATTAGTATAGTCCCATTAATTTCAGAGTCCATTTCTCTCAGCTATTATAGTCTTAAAAATCAAAATAAAGAACTTTTCAATATGGAGGACTATATAGTATGCAAGTATAGAGATTTTAAAGGTGTAAACTTGTAACATGTTTTCCCTGATAGATATTTAAGCTGTATAAATTCCTTGAGACTTCTTATATAGAAAACTGGCATGCTCCATCAATCCCCATCTTCTCACCCTTTAAAGAAGAGAAGTTGAGGGGTGCCTGGCTGGCTTAGTCAGTAAAAGCAATGAGACTCTTGATCTCATGAGTTGTGAATTCAAGCCCCACGGTGGGTGTAGAGATTACTTAAACAAATAAAATCTAAAAAAAAAATAATAATAATAGAGAAGTAGAATTGTATAACTACCCTAGTATCTTTTAATGATCATTTTAAATGTAAATTATTTTGCTATACTGCATAAGTAAGCATTGATTTTATGAAACTTACTTGATTTGTGTTTTCCAAGAACGTTAAAAAGTGAACATTGAACCAGTAGTGTTACCAAAAGTTTAGCTGAAAAACAATTTTTAATGACTGTATAATTTTCTTTTGAATCATTTCCTCCCCCATATAATGTGATACAACTTTTTAAAAATGAATTTATTTTTTTGTTGCACATAATTGTTTCAATTTTCCCTTAATTTTTACTAGATTTTTTTGTATGCGTAGAGAATAGATGCCTACAGATTGCTGTTGGGTCATGCTTTATTCTTTCCTATTTAGTAGAGTCCTATTATATGTATGTTACACTCAAGCAAATTCAACTATAGGCCCCTGAAGAAAAAATAAAATTTTAACAGTTCAAAAGTTATAAGGATTCTAAATACAATTCAACCAAAAGAACATATTCTCCAGAGTTGGCCACTCTGGGAATGGCAGAAGTGAATCTGTTGTTACTCGGAATATCCATGCCTCCTTTGCCGCTTCATTCAGAGGTTAATCTTCTCACCTTTGTGTAATTGTAATTTTAAAGATAAATTTTTTCATATAGATGGCCCCCAAATATAAGCCCAACTATTTCATCTGGTACTCAACCACAGAACCATAAGCCAGAGGAAAAACTGTCTGTGCTGGGCTTATTGAAAGAGACACATCCATTGTGGTAGACTCTAAAGGAATTTTCAAGGCTTAATTTTTACTATACTGACTTTAGAACTTAACCACTATATATGAGATAGAAGTCAGTTGATATATACTTTCTCGTTTGCTGCTTAAGCCAAGTATTTTGATTTAGCAGTTTTTTATTAATCTGTCATTATTTTAAATATTAATATTTATATGTATGCTGTGGCCTAGTGATGCCCTCTGGACTGATTTTCCTTTTTCTAAGAAATCACCTATAAAGATCCTATTTCAAGCAGGAAATTCTAAATGAGGATATCAGGAGCCCATTATTTTTAATAAAGGGCATGAGCTTTAACACACCAACTTTTGTAGTTCCTGGTGCTCAGAATTTTTTTGCTTGCTTCCCAGTCTTGGTCATTTTGCATAGTTGTGTGGCCTAATAGATTAGTAACCTGGTTGGTCAGGTGCTCGAGTGCATGATCCTCTGGATAACACACAATAGAGTGACACAATGTTGGGAAGACTTAAATATATGTGTATTTAGAATTTCTAGGACTAGATTGTAGTACTATGAATAAATTGTGTATATTTAATAATCTTTGGTTTATATGTGATTTGGAAAGTTTTCTATTTTTTTTTAATCTATAAAAGCACCTTTGAAAATGTATAGTGTTTTTTTCAGTTTGCATGTGTTTGAGTTTGGGGGATATGGGATGTCAGAATTAATACCTTTTCTCATAATTAGAATGGACTTTTATAACTTAGAAAGACTAAATAAAAAAGTGATTTTTTTAAACCACCATTATATGTTCAGGATTTGAATTCTTAGTTCCCACTGAAATTTCATTCAGCATTCTAAGTAATTTTCCTAAGCTCACATACCTATACTAAAGATTTGGTTTATTTTCATAAATTAATAGGATATATGTAGCTAGAATGATGTGTTCTAAGTCTCAGGATCTGTAGCTTACTTAAATTAGTGCATTTTACTTCATAAAACTTGTAATATGCAATTACAAATTTCAAAAGAATTCTAGATTTGAGCATTGAATATTCTCATGGTTAGACTTTATAAACCTATAGGACCTTAATCCTTATCCAAGCATGTTTCACAATTCAAAATTACATCCTTAGCAGGGTGTAGAGTAGCACTCATAGTAAAATTAATAGTTTTATAGTTGTGTGCTGAAGTGCAGGATTACTCACAATAAGTGGAAGGTTGGGTCACAGATTATCTCATGTTCAAGTAATTCAAAGCCGAATGAATTCAGATTCAGCCATGTTTGGCCATCAAAGGAAATACACCATCTTTTTCTTTTCAGGTTGGATTTTCTGGGTGGCTGATAAGTGCTTATGAACCTCAAAACTATCATTCAAGCTTGATCATCCTTTAGTATTTTCTGAAGTCATTTTATTTTATATTTATCTCTTTAAAGTTACCTTTTCCTTTATTAAAATAATTTTCTGCCTGTGTACTGCTCAAAGAAATTTCTGTTTGAAGGTGATCTTTTAAAATAAGTGTTTGGGTTCATTGGGTTTTTTTTGGTTTGGGTTTTGGAGTGTTTTGCTTTTTTTTTTTTTTTGTTAAACAATGTACATTTTGGTAATCTTAAATATGTCTTTTCAGATTATTAATTTTTTTCTAAGTACTTGTCCCCCTCACATACTCCTACTCTTTGATCATTTCCATTGAGATGCTCCAGCTGCAAGAAAATGACTATTCCAGGTGCTGGAGTGCCACAGAAGAATAGTTTCCTGTCCAAATGGACTGGTAACATCATAGATTATTTTGTCTAAATTCCTAGCCCAGAGAATTGTTAGCGGCTACCAAAGCAGCAGTCGTTTCTGGCCTTTGCATAGACACCTCTAGTGAGGGCAAATGCAACAATTTTCTAGATCAAGTTATTCTAGGGTTGGGAATCTTGTTTAGAAAGTTTGGCCATATATGAACAACAGCTACCTCCTTAAGTTTAAACCTACAAGTTCCTCTGTTGCCCTTAGAAGCATACTAAGTTTTCTTGCTTTCCAGCATCATAGTGTGCTTCAAAATTTGAAGTCCTGTCATGCTCCTTCCCTATTCTCAGCATTTAGTCATGTCCCTCACATAAGTCTTCTCCCATACCTAGACTCTTCTCAGGTGCTCTATAGATAAGGGTGTTTTGTTTTGTTTTGTTTAAAGGACTTGATTCATAGTGTGGGGTACATTAAAAGTTTGATTATTTCTTGTAGGTAATATTAAAACAAACAAACTTATGGCTATTTCTTTTTATATTTAATATCTCAGTGGTTTATGGATAGATTTTCCCCCCATTCCACTACTATCTTTGTGACCTCAGATGAAAGTTTCATCATCTTTATTGTGAAGTTGTGGGAGGAAATCAAGGGTGCCTCTAAAAATTTGGGGTTCTGTAAAATGCTTCTGATTCTAGATTTGGTCATATGTCCATGAAACCATTCTGCCCATCTTCATGCTAATTGCATACTTGACTATCACTCTCTGTCTAGAGGTAGACCTAGAACCTAGAACTGTAACACTTTCTACCTTGAATAGAGACTAGGGAAAAATATGGTCATGTTTATTTATTTCCACATAGCATTTAACTGGACTTTTAATTATAATGCTATCTGAAGTCTTCTCAGTTTTCTGTATAAATAGCAATGTAAAACCCAGTTCAGATTGTATTTCCCCAGATTTACTACCTTACCTTTGTCCAAGTTTTCCTACTTATTTATATAGCCTTTTGGATTGGAAATTTGTTTCTCAGAAGAAATATAAAATCCTTGTGTCGCAGAGGTGGAAAGGGCTTTAGTGATCACCTAATTTAATCCAAGTATTTTGGATGAACATGACTGAGCCCCAAAAAGATTAGTTACTTGGCCAGGTATACCTGGCTAGTTATGATAGAGCCATAGAGCCAAGAGCTTAAAAAAAACCACCACCACCAACAACAACAAATCAAGGTCTCCTGGCTCCTAGACCCATGGTTTTTACTTTCAGCTTATATGTTGTTCAGCCTATGTGTTTCTTCTAGGTCATTTATGAAAAATGTCTGGGGAAAGTTTCATAACTAGACTCCAAAAGAAATATTACTAAAATCATGATGAGTATTAGACAGTTGCATTTCTATTTCTAAATCTTGTATTAGGGAGAAGTTAACAGTTTAAAAAAGTGAAATTCACAAGATCCTCAGAGACCAAGGATTAAAATGTTGAACTTAAATTAGGGCAAAAAAAAATCGATTTGATTTATTATTATTTATTATTGCTAATTTTTTTATTAAAACACATACAAATTTCCATAAAATATTACTTTCATTCCTGTAAATGGAGTTTTTTGTATATAGTTCTCCAATGAATGCTGAATTATTATGTTTGTAGAAATATAATGACCTGACCTTGTAAAAATTATCCTTTTTTAAAAAAAAATTTATTGAATATCCCTTGGTGGGATGTTCAGACTTTAAGCAACTCACTCAAATTTAGGAAGTTAAAAGTATTAATCTCAAAAACATACTAGCAAAACTCTAGTTTTAATAAATTAGGGATCTTTAGGGTAAACAGTTACTTTTATGGATTTTAAAAAGCATAAATATAAATGTTACATTAATTATAAACTATTTCAGGGCAGCATTAATTTTTGTAAATTTTCAGGTTTTGATACAACACATTCCTATTCTATGGAAGTAGTCATTTTGACACAAAGTTACTTTATGTCAGTATTTAGAAGTTATCTAGTCAATAAGTCTTCCCTATAGTATTCAGATCTGAGAATTACTATATAGTAGGAAAAGAAATGCATCAAAAGACAGTTTTTATAGCAAGAAATTATGTTTTTGCTCTTGTAGCCCAAGAACTTAGTTCAAGTGTAAAGTCTGTGTAGACACTAATAATTTCTGGGGTTTTCTTAAATATTGTTTCATAATTTTCTGATTCATTGAAAATACGGTAGCATTTCTACCTAAACATTTTGTAGTGGTACTACTCAGAAAAGCTGTTATACTGGAAGACAAAGATTCTTTACAAGTTATGAGTGAAAGTTATAAAACTTGATGAAGTGATATTTTCTTCAACTAAATTATTAAAATGCAATTAAAGACAACAAATTAGGTGACAGTGTTTTGAGAACATTAAGCTTTAGATTGAGGAAATTTGCATTGCATGTTTTATAGATTCCCTGGTATTCAGGGATGCATGATAACCTTTTTTGTGTTTTGAAATAATTCTTAATCCAAACATCACAGGTTTCTTAAAGAAGCCTTTAAAGTCAGATGTTGTGATTGTATGTGCCCTTTTTTTTTTTTTTTCCTTTTTTTAATTGGCAAAAGTAAGAAAAAAGAAAAAGGTTTCCTTTTTAAAAACTGCACACACTTTTTTGGGGGGTAATAAATGAACATTTTTTTGTTTGTTTTTTTTAGAACTGAGCTCTCCATAGACAAACATAAGTAGCATAACACAGTGTCTTTCCTCAGACATCATTCTGTACAGTAAATCAACATAAACAACTCCGTTCTTATTGACTGGATTTTTTCCAGGTGGGTTAATTGGGTGGGGAAAATTAATTAACCTTAACATTTGGAGCCTCTTCCTGTTAAAGGATGAGTTCTTTAAAAAAAAATAAAATAAAGGTAATAAACCAACAATCTTATATTCCATATAGAGAAAATGTTTATAATGGCTAAAATTAGAAAATATGTAGAACAATTAGTATTTATACACAGAACTGTTAGGGATCATCTGAATGCATTGGGACAGTAATATGAGTAAACTAGAAACCAAATGGTAATTAATCAGATTTCTTCTCAAGCTCAGTGCAAAGTTGAATTCCAAATATGTGGATTTAAAAAGCTGGATTACCTTTTTACACTGTCTAGCGCAAATGTCATAGCTTATAAAAATAATGGTTTTGAAACTTGAGAAGTGAGTTCTCTTTCCTATGTTGTTATAACTCGGGAAGTTTATACTTTTGTGTTGCTTTAAACTCGAGCCACTCCTGTTAAGTGTGGTTGTAAAAAATGCAGAATTTTTCTTATGAAAGTGATCTTTAGCAGGATCACATGAGCCTTTGTCAGATGCTTTAATTCTGCACAAAAATTTTTTTAATGCTGTAATTTTTTTGGTACTTTAAGATGTGTATGCTATCTGTGCATTTTTATGAAGTGTTTCCTCGTTTTATGTTCAGCATTTACAGCCGAACAATACCAGCAACATCAACAGCAACTGGCACTAATGCAGAAACAGCAGCTTGCCCAAATTCAGCAACAGCAAGCAAATAGTAATTCCTCCACCACCACTGCACAGGTGAGGGATTTGTCTGTCTTATGATTATCCCTCATTGTTTCCCACCAGAGTTCATCTCTAATTACCAACTGTTGTCATAGAACCTTGCATCTAACCAGCAGAAAAGTGGCTTTCGCCTGAATCTACATCATAGCCATTCTATACAGGGTTTAGAAAGAGCATTACAGGTGAGTATGGAAGCCGTTGCCTCTGCTCCCTATTTTAAAAAGTAAAACTAAGAAAGCATAGTTAAATGAGATCAAGACACTGTTTTCCAAGTCTGTCCTATAGTTTATGCATTTATCTCTTTAACATATAATCTCACCCAGCTCGTTATCTTGGATATTTTAATTATTATTAAGAGTTATGTAAAGTTATCATTATTAAACCTCTCTTAATTACAAGAAATCACTTTTAAACCTCAGGTATGATGAATGTTTGCCATTTAAACACATGTAAGGTTCAAAGGCTGAAATTTGAATCTTAGCGTTTTAAAGGAAAAATCGATTTTAAAAAATTAGAGGAGCTTCTTAATTTCTAGGCCAAGCTATGGTATGATATTTTGTTACATCAATTCTAAAGGGATAGTTAGCTTACTGTCCCAAAGGTGCCTTGGTTTATATGTGAATATGTGTGTAAGTTTGGTGAAGAAAGAACCTTACATACTCATTTTTCATTATATGTACTTGCAAATCACTGAAATGTTTTACTAGCGTATTTCTCGTCTGACACTTTGTGTCAGAGGTTTAGTGCTTCCACATTAAAGAAGGTTTATTTTTGTAATTGACCTGTCCATATTACACATTGTCACATATGAAGATCAAAATTCATAATCCCTGAGTTCTTAGATTGCTTGAGCATTCTTCAAACTTACGACTCAAAAGACATGAAGATATTTCAGTGGTTTGCCACTCTGGTTTATATTCAGACTGTTGTATACTTGTGTAGCTTTAATAAGTTAATTTGAGACTAAACGATGCTGATTAAATTTGTTTTTATTTTCTTTTTTAGGGTTTTGTTTCCAAGACTTTGGATTCTGCTAGTGCTCAATTTGCTGCTTCTGCTTTGGTGACATCAGAACAACTGATGGGATTCAAGATGAAGGATGATGTGGTGCTTGGAATTGGGGTGAATGGCGTCCTTCCAGCCTCAGGTAAGGATAAAGACATTTAAGGGTACCTGGATGGCTCAGTCCATTGAGCATCCGACTCTTGGTTTTCACTTGGATCATAATCTCAGGGTCCTGGGATCGAGCTCCACATCGGGACTCCTGCTCAGCCAGAGTTCCCTTGAGATTCTCTCTCCCCCCAGCCCCCCCCCCCCATGCTCTCTCTCAAAAATAAATACATAAATCTTTAAAAAGAGATAGACTTCTAAATTGTTCTGATGTTTGTAACATATATCAGTGGTAAACAGCAAAGCCATACATTTCTTTCTCTTTCTCTAGGAGTATACAAGGGCTTACACCTCAGCAGTACTACACCAACAGCACTTGTACACACGAGTCCGTCAACGGCAGGTTCAACATTGTTACAACCTTCAAACATGACACAGACTTCAGGTTCCCACAGTGCACTGAGTCATCAAGTCACTGCTGCCAATTCTGCAACAGCTCAGGTTCTGATCGGGAACAACATTCGATTAACTGTCCCTTCGTCAGTTGCCACTGTAAACTCTATCGCCCCCATCAATGCACGACACATACCTAGGACTTTAAGTGCTGTCCCGTCGTCTGCCTTAAAGCTGGCTGCCGCAGCAAACTGTCAAGTCTCCAAGGTTGCATCTTCATCTGCTGTAGATTCAGTTCCAAGGTCAGTAGTTATTTGAAGCCAAAATGTTTGAAAAAATATGAGCTCTGACTTGAATCCTTTGGCAGTGCTCTCTACTTCTGTGTTTTGTTCTTTTCCTTACATACATTGAAAATGGGTAGAGGAGAATTCCTTATTTATTCAAGACTAAACAGGTAAGTGTTATAATTCAACATTGTTGAGAATTTGAATTAAATGGTATACTGAATGTTGCCTGTGTGCTTTGGACACCACTTTCACAGTAGAATGATAGCTCTCAGTGCTCTCATTTTCCATCTTTGGATGGAGGAAGTTCTCTTTAGAATGTTTCTTTTATGTTCCATATCTTCTCGTGTAAACAGAATTGATACAACCCACCCTGGCTTAATCTACTCTTAATAATGTAAATAACGTAAAGGCTTAAACAGTATTAATGCCAGGTCAGTTTTTACTCAAACCCATTACTTTTTATGTTAATTTGTCTTCTTGGGTTTCAGTAGATGGTTTAGAATGTTTGCTCAGACTCTCCTGTTTTAGATATTAGTGGTAAAGAATCCTGCTATTTACAAAATACTGCGGGGGAAAGAAAGAAAGATGGGGTTTTCAATTTAGTTAGAAGACAAGTATGAAAGCGTAAAAATTAAATAATGTTAACTAACAGGTGAACATCTTTTCTGTATCATAAAGCATAATATCCTTATCAAATTAATTGTATAGATGATGGCTATAATTTCAATTTGAGGGAACATCTTTTCACACCAGTGGTATTCTGGGAAAGTTCTGCAAAATAAGATCAGATTTGTTCTTGGTTAGGCAAGAAAAGAGGAAGAGTTGGAGAAATACAAATGTATTCAAAGGTTAGCATAGCTAAACTCGTTTGTGTAGAGGTTTGGGAATGTTTAGTAGTTGACGTTGGAATGGTGGGAGGAAGGCAGACTTTGGAACACCTTGGATGCCAGGCTGATAGGTCAACTCCCTCGGGCCGGAGTGGCCCGGGGTGGGAGAACAGCAGGCTTTGCAACAACAGACTATAAGCCTGAAGTTTCCCAACACATGCGTCCCTGTCTGCTGCTCAGCTTAAGTAAGTCTTTGCTCCATTAAGATCCATTCTTAGTAGCATTCTGGGTCTAGTCATAAGTAATCAATCAATTCTAGTTCTTACTTAGATATGTAATACATGGTGTTCATTGCTATAGAATTGTGTAACTATGGAACACTCACCGTGTATTGTATGCTTTTATATCACTTATTTCAATCGCTTGGTTTTAAAGATGAGGGAATTGAGATCCAGAGCCGTTGACAGATTTCTGCAAGCACCCTCAGCAGCCTAGGCACTAGCATAACTGTGACCATGGTCTTGTGATTTCCAGCTCATAGCCGTCCTACTCAGCTGCACATACAGACTTAAAGTCCTGACATGAATGAACTTTGGTCACATTATTTTCCTTTTTAAAAATTTTTAGGAAAGGTTTAAAAAAAGAGGAAAGTATAGACTAACACTTGGGAATTCTTTAGGTTTTTTAGCAGCTGGGTTACTTGGCTGCTACTACAGTTTTGTCGGTTGTATAGTTGACCGTGGAATTTACTTGGTACACAGAAACCTGACTTCTGGTTGTATGTTCCTGATAATAAACTATGAGAGTTCATATTCCTCTACTTGTTACATTTCTTTCTATGATTAAAAATATTTAATTTTTTTAGTGGGAAGATAGTCTTGATTTGTTCAATTTGTCTTTTGTTAAATTTGTTGCAGATAAGTAATTTAATTGAACTTTATTTCAACAGGGAAAATCATGAATCAGAAAAGCCAGCACTAAACAACATAGCAGACAATACAGTAGCGATGGAGGTGACGTAGCTTCCTCAGGAGTGGAGCTGCAGCCTGGGGACTTGATTAGGTGCTATGCATCAGTAGCATTTTGAATGCAAGGGATGATGGAATGCAGCACATGCGTTTCTGTGGCAGCTGTGGGGACTTGACAGCAATGCTCATCTCTCATGCTTCAATTTTTCTTTTCTTACTGTTAATAGGAAAAAATCAACATCTGTAAATTAAGAATACAGCAATTATCTGTACAGTACTGCATATTTGTAATACCCTTGTATATATGTTACTTGAATACAGAAATGTTCATTTGTGATGCTTTGCACTTGGGGGTGGGGGGTGGGAGGGAAATAAATCGCAACAAAGAGTGTGAGATGTGAGATTGTATAGAGATGAAGTGTCATCACATCATGTGCATGGTGCGGAACCTGCTGTTTTATCTATTTATTGTGCCGTGTTTACAGTTTTTTGTACACTGTACCTTCATTGGTTCCTGTGCTGTAGTAAATGTGTTAGGTAGCTGTGGACTCCTTGGTATTTTGTAAATGGTATAACATAACTTGGTTCCCCTCTGGGTCCCTGAGTTTTCTGTGTATCATGTGAAAAAAATGGTGACATACATACAGAATTTTACAAAAAAAAAAAAAAAAGGCATCAGTTTTTAAAAAATGGGGAATGTACTGTTAAATGGGGATCTTCCTGGTCTACTATCATTAGGACAAGTAACAAGCTAAAAATGAAGTCTGTTGAATCTTCCCATCCCCACTTGCCCACAGAGCTATGTGGGTAGTTTCTGGTACTTAAAGCACTAATGTTATGTTGCTGCTCTACAAACAGCCCAGTAGTCCCATTTCCTTCCACACCAAAAAGTGTTAAATCAAGTATGCAAATGGAGTCCTTACAACTGGAGTTTATGTTGTCTTGCCCTTTTTTTAGCACAAAAAAAAAAAATTGTACTTTTTTATTGTCGAATTGTTTAAAAGACTTCATTCTTTACTTGTTCTTACAAAAAGGATATAAGGGAGAAGAATGCAGTAATTGCTGTACGTGTATCATCATTCCAGTTTCTAAAAACAGCCAGCCAGCTTTTTTCCTTTTAAGATTCTCCAGAAGGCTGCAAGGCCAGAACCACAAATATCGGGTGCCTTCCTTTGGAAATATTTGACCTCTCTTCTGTGAAGAGAATGGTACTTAACAGACTACTACTAGTGCTTTGTCAGTACCGAAGTCTGAATGCCCAGTCCAATGGCATACATTATCCTTAAGGTTTTTAATCCCACCTGGAAAAATTGTGATAGAATTCTCACAAAATAAACCCAGGGCATTACATGTTGACAAACTAATGTGTAGTGGTCTTTTGCTTTTATTTTCAACCCAAGAACTTCTGTGTGACTTTAAAACCACCCAGTAAGGGGGAACTTGGGAAGGGGAGTGATTAAGTTCATTTTTTTCATTTTCATCTTTTTCAACAATTACTGAATGACTACTCAATATGCTCAAAATGCTCAGATCCTGGAACAGTGGGAAAAAAAAAAAAAGGCCTGCCTTTGTGGGGTTTGTAATCTCACTGTGAGTGATAAAAACAAAGTAAGATTTAAATTGTATTATGATAAGTATTAGGGAAAAAATTAATGCAAGGAATGGGAGAAGCACTGCTAGGGTGGGCAAGGAAGAGCTCACAGATGTGGAAGTGTGACTGGCTCACTAAAGGAACCAGCAGTGCAGTTGTACAGACGGAAAGGGACAGGTAGGGTAGGTTGAGGAGTAACTGGGAGTCTGCTCATGGAGGGTCTGGTGGGCGATTTTAAGGTCTTTGACTTTTCCTCTGCTTGAGAAGGGAGTTGGGAGCAGAGAAGTGATGTGATCTGAACAGGTGCATCTGCCTCTGGTGTTCAGAATTGACTACAGGGGGAGCCCAATGAGGAAACAAATGACAATAACCCAAGCGCGAGACAGCAGTGACAAGGATGGTAGGGATACCATAGTGGGTCTGTGGGTTTATTGCTAAGCAATAGAAATCGATGAGAAGCCAAAAGGGAGTTCCTGGCAGAGCTTAATTGGGGCTTGTGCTCCAGCACAAGGGAGGCAGCACAAAGGAAAGAATCCTCAGGCTGATTCCCCAAGGAGAGAGATTAGGGGAAGTTTTTTTAAAGATAGAGAAACTTTTGATGGGAAAAGAGTGAAAAGGCTGTGTTTCAGTGCATGTGGCTGGTAAGTGTGACTAAAATTCAAACTGTTGGTTTAAATGTACTCAAGAATAATTAGGATTAAAATTTCTAAACAAAATCCAGCAGAGAGAGTGAGGCCTGGACTCACTAGTAATGCCTGTTGTTCACGGGCAAATTTAGAAATGAATTGAGGAACAAACACACCCAGTTAGGAGTTTGAAATGAGCCTTGCAGTGGGTAGAGAAGTGGCAGATGGGCCACAAGTTTTGTTTTGCAGAGTAGAGGGGAATTGGGAATGTCAGGGGAGGGGACTTGGGATTTTTTTTTTTTTAAGATTTTATTAATCTTCATCCATGTGACACTCCCTCATTTTAGCATACCAATTCTGAGATGGCAGAGAAAATATTAATTTGTATATTTCACATTTTTAAATAAGTTTATTCAAAACGGAGTCTTCAGCCTCTAAATTTCTTGCTGTCTTTCCAAATACTTCATTATCAAGGTTATAAGAGCCAAAAGTGAAGGACAAAAGAACAATTTAAACACTAATATCTTAGCAAAATATGTCATCAAGTGCACTTTGACATTTAGTCTAGTTAATTATCATTTATTGAGTATTTACAATATAACATCCTCTGCATAGTAATGATCTCATTTAGTCCTTAAAGTAATCCTTTCATATGGATGCCATGATTATCACTGTGTTATAGGTTAGATTCACTGAAAATCATACAGTAAGTGGCAGTCCAGGATTTGAACTTACCTGCCAAATTCCAAAGCAATTGCTATTTGCTTTGCCCTACTAAGCCCAGAAACAGATTTCTAACCTAATTTCTTAGGAACCTATGCTCTTGTTGTGCTCCTACTAAAAAACTGCTGATTCTGTTACTCCGGTATTGTTATACTTTTGTCCATTTCATGAGCAGAAGCCCAAAAAACCTTCCAAACTGACTTTTTATAGTAGATATAAATTTTGTTTCTTGAAAAGGACTATGTGAGTAGTGTTTCCTTAACTCCACAAATTTTCACAAATATTGTATTAGTGTATAATATGCCACAATATTAATGTGTAGTATCTTACAGGTAAGCAGATTTCACGCTCCTCACTAAGAGCAGATCTACTTGTATCTATTTTATATATTGATGTTCTTTGTAAAATACAAATTCAGCAAAAGGATTCTGCTGTTTTAAGGTTTGAAAAAAAACAGCAATAGAGAAATAGACAAATAGCACATTGATTCAACAAATATTTACCAACTGTGCCAGGCACTATTAGATGCTGGAAACCCAGCAATTACTAAAGTCCTTGCCTTCAATGTCAGTGACATTCTCAGAGGATATGCATTGATGATCATTGGAAGAACCAGTTGACAATTCTAGTATTTTCTCACAAGGGTATATTCTTCACAAATTAGGCACGAAAGGAAAAAAAAAAGTTTCACATAGGCAAATGTTATATAACCATGTATTTTGAAAGAATCCAGTCTTCGGGAATAATCTACCCTACTTTTGTAGTTCAATAAAACAAAAGGAGGTTAGTATGTAGGACTATTAGTATTATAACATTAGTCTTTCCTGAAGACTTTATTGCTGGCCACATGTATTAGTTACCTGTAGCTGCAATAGTAAATTACCACAACAGAAATTGACCCTCTCATAGTTTTGAAGACTAGCAGTCCAAAATAAGTTTTTGGTGAGCTGAAATCAAGCTGTCAGCAAGGCCATGCCCCCTTTGCGCGTTCTAGGGGAGAATCCATTTTTTTACCACTTGAGCTTCTGATGGCTGGCATTCCTTGTTCTATGGTGGCGGCGCTCCAAACTGCCCGTCTCTGTATTCACAGTGCCTTCTCTTGAGTATGTCCAAAAACACCCTCTGTCTTGTTTTATAGTTACATATGCCCACATGATCTAGGATAAACCCTTCGAAGCCCTTAATTTAGTCACATCTTTTGTCACATAACCTGTAATTTTCGCAGGTTCTGGGGATTAGGACTTGGACATCTATTTGAGGCCACCATTCAACCCAGTATAACATGATACTTCTGCAGCTCCACATACCTACCAAAAGATAGTAAAAAAGCAAAGCAAAATAAAGTTTACCCTTGTATTAAGCCATTGTGAGTTGATAAAATTTATCTTTTCAATTCTGGTTGTCTATCTGAAAGAAAAAAAATCCTTAGATTTCATGAAAAAGCATCTAGAATGATCATGGGTATAAGAGAATTGTATTGCGGGTAGACCAAAAACATGTGGTCTTAGTCTGGAAAGATGAAACAAGCTATGACTAAAGTCATTACGACAGATATACAAGGAATGAGCATTGATTTTGTTCACCAAATACTGAAATTCTAGAAAATGAGAACCTCCCTACCTCACCCCCCCCCCCCCCGCACACACACACATCTGATTCTGGGAAAATACTTATGATTGGAGGAAGTACTATAAGTTTACGGTAAGTGAATTTTAGCTGTCAACTAACTGTGCCTAGAAGTTAGCTGAATTCAAAAGTTCAAAACAGGTTTAATATATATATAATAAAACTGACAGGCTGATATGGTCAAACTAGGGATTCTCTAAGATAAATATTCCAAGGTAGCCATCCTGAAACCATCTCTAATTTTCCTTAGACTAATCTGATTTGGCTCAAGTCAGATTTTTTTTTTTTAAATTTATTTATGATAGGCACACAGTGAGAGAGAGAGAGGCAGAGACACAGGCAGAGGGCGAAGCAGGCTCCATGCACCGGGAGCCTGACGTGGGACTCGATCCCGGGTCTCCAGGATCGCGCCCTGGGCCAAAGGCAGGCGCCAAACCGCTGTGCCACCCAGGGATCCCCTCAAGTCAGATTTTATTAACTTATCACTTGAGTTCTTGACTCCATGCCTGTGCAGTTAAATAAGCTAACTACTAACCACATGTCAACTTAAATGTAAATTAATTAGAATTAAATAAAATTCAAGATTCAGCTCCTTAGTCATGCTAACCACATTTCTAGTCCTCAAAAGCTATTTGGCGTAGTAGCCACCATATTGGACAGAAGACATCTACATCACTGCAGAAATTTCTCTTAGTGTTGTTACAGAGCCATGTATGTATTGATCATTTCCACTTGGATGTCTTTTAACACACTTCAAACTCAGTATGTTCCACACCAAGGTCATCTTTCCTCTTCTTCCTCGCCTCAAGAATGAAGCCACATGTGTGATTTGGTTCTTCTCTTGTGTTCTCTATCTTAAATGGCCACCAGTTACCCATCTTACTGAGCAAGAAACCTGAAATGCTTTTTTTTTTTCCTTCTACCTAATCTCCCACATTCATCAGGCAAAAGTGATTTTTAAAAGTTCCTATGTATTCAATTGGTATACTTCTTTCCATGTAACCTACTGCCACATTTGTTCAGACTACCCTAATTTCTCTTCTGGATTACTGCTCTGGTTCCCTAAATGCTCTGCTTCCAGTCTTTTTTTTTTTTTTTTTTTTTTTTAAAGACTATTTGTTCATAAGAGACATGGAGAGAGAGGCAGAGACATAGAGGGAGAAGAAGGCTCCTCGCAGGGAGCCTATGTAGGACTTGATCCCCAGACCAGGCATCACGACCTGAGCCGAAGGCGGAAGCTCAACCACTGAGATCCAGGTGCCCCTGCTTCCAGTCTTAATTCTAAAACTTACCCCATTTCATCCTGCTACCAGAGTATTCTTTCTAAAACTCAAATCTGACTATATTGAATACCTTTGGGGGTGATTTCCAAACTTTTTCACATGGTTTACAAAAACCATCTTTGGCCATTTTCCCCTTCATATTTTCTACTCCAGCCCTAATAAGAGCTAACAGTTATTGAGCACTTACTAAGTGCCAGCACTAGTCTTAGCACTTTACATCATCTCATGTAATCCTCATAACCAAGGCCACTGGGTTGTATATACGGTGTATATATAGTGCTGTATGTACAAGTTCTGCTATTAACCATGTGGTCTCATGTAAATGGCACACTCCCAACTCCCCGCTCCACAATTTACAAATCACAACTTACAGATGAGAAAGCAACCTATCTCAGGTGGTAACTCCAAACCATTTTAACTGCTGAGACCACATATGTAACTAAAGGCCATACTTTTTTTTTTTTTAAGATTGTATTTATTTATTCACGAGAGACACAGAGAGCGAGAGAGCGCGC